TTTAGTTAGTATGCCAAAGTCGCAGTTACCATTCGGTGTATTTTAATTCAAAACAATAGTAAATAGCAAAAGTTGTGTGAATGTGAAGAAAATATTACAGTTGTTGAACGTTATTCATGACTTGTGAGGACGCCTCCCCATGTACGGAATCCTCGACCTTATGGGGTCTAGCATTAACAGTGTAAACATTCCGCTTTTTTTACTATTTTCGCCTGTACAATTAATTAATCTGGGAATTTTTCTGATAAATCTATTGTATATGCCATAACTTTATTGTAGTGTTCATTCACTAACTAACAACGTACTAAGCGTTATATTTTGTAAATAGAGTAGACATTTTTTTACTCCTTTTTTCGTATTTTTAAATAAGATAAAATAATTAAATTTTTCCTGTTAATCAAATCCAATTCAGATCCAAAACTATCATTAGTAACAAACGATTCAAAATAAATAATTTAATTTTATAATTTTTAGCATAAAACAAACTTAAAGATCCTGCTTTAAACATTTGCTAGAAGTAGAGAATAGAAGTAGTTCTTTCTCTTTCCCATTCAAATATTTCATTCTATTAATTATTAAAGTTCTCGCTACTAAATGGCTTATGTCACGAAGGTTTACAAGTTTAGTATCGATCACGTCTTATTGGAAATTTAATATAGTTTTCAGTGGTATCAACGAATTTTATCAAAACCTTTTAGTTTTGGAGTTATCATTGTTTATTTGAATCAACGTTGTGAAATCTTAAAAAATCAGAAAAAGTGAAACAATTCCGAAACTGTTGAGATTCGGACCATAGTTAATTAAGTTTTTTGGGTTTCATTTTGAATGTAAAACCTACGGGCAAAATTTGTAACACGAGTAGCCGACCATCCTGGATTTATTAAAGAATCCAAATAAATTTGTTATCGCGAGTTTCTATAAAAGAAATGGATAGATAAATGTTTTTATTCCTTTGTCAACAATATATAATAAATTCACTAATCTCGTGGTCCGCTTGACCAATTAATATATTAAAATTAATTAAGGTTTTTAGTTGAGATAAAAAAGTCAATGGCACGAGCGGGATTCGAACCCAAGATCTTTGGCTTGATACGCTGGAATGATAGATCAAGTGGTAGAGCAGCTTATAAAGCCGAAGATCGTCGGTTCGGATCCCGCTCGTGCCATTGACTTTTTTATCTCAACTAAAAACCTTAATTAATTGTAATATATAATAAAGTTAGTTTCTGCTGTATATCAATTAACGTCCAGAAAAAAAATTTGAACATTTTTTTAAGTTGTAAAGAACAATTCATATTAAATCCAGAATATAATATAAATAATATACATAAATAAAGACTTCATCTTAAATCAAGATTGTCGTCGTTTAAGTCTTGGAGGGTTCAAGGGATGAGAAAGGGTTAAGGGGCCTTGAGAAATAAGTCTAGGTTGTATCGAGAAGTAGAAATCGGATTGGTTGACAAATGGAATGTTCATTTCGTTGTGGATAGGTTAGTGACGTAAGTAGCTTTGACAATTCATCTGTAGACTTTTCACTGGAATTAAATTCGCTGGATATTGGAATGCTTGACGACCTGTGTTCAAAGTGTGTAAACTTTTGTAGAAATTTACGATCAAAACTGATTTAGGTACTTGACGTTTTCCTCTAGTCTTTGTCTTAAATAGTAACTATAAAGTGAAGGAAAATACGGTTATATTCAAATAGAAATATTCACTGTGTGCATGATTCAGTTATTTTAATAGTTTTCCCTATTCTTTAATTAATTGGAAGTGTACGTGGACGTGAGAAGTTGCTTGGATATAATTCTGGTTCAAATAATGCTGAAAGTGTCTTCTTTGTACTTGTTTCTCATAGTAGAAAACTGAAGAGTACATCATTATTCGCTGTTTGGCCTCTTTATTGCGATATTATTGGGAATTCTTAATTGAAAAATTTATAATACGTCTAGCAATATGAGAAATATTAGATAAAACATTAACATGTTCATATTCTTTTAGCGTCTAAGTTGAATTGGTCCATTCAAATTATAAAAGTTTTTCAACTTAACATTTTCAAGTAATCAGGGTATATGATTTGTATTATATATTATTTGAAAAAAATCTATAAAGACAATTATCTATCCATCTATCTGTTTAATAGAAACTCGCCAAGCAAATTTATTTTGATTCTTTAATGCATTTAATACACAAAAAACGAAGTGAATCTTTTTTCAGAGTACTTGTCAGTTCAGCGATGTATTTATGTATTTTAAGTAAAAAAACAAAGCAAATAGATGTTTATTTATTTGCAATTTACAATGGATTACTTGTTAAAATTGCGTTGGCGTTTCTATCGCGCAAAAATTTTCTAAGAAATAATAAAAACGATTAATATATTTTTTTAAAGAACGTCGGAATATAATTATAATGCAAAAAACATAAAATGAAATGTGTGGTGATTAGTGACCGTTAATCGATAATTGTTCAGAAATCGTGAGATGCGGTCTGGTGTGATGTAGATTTCAGAAAAACATTTTTTTTATCGTGCCAACTTTTCGTTATTGAAATCATCTTCAGGGACTGGGATTTACAAACATTGTTTACATTTAACAAATACATTTAGGATGTGGAAAAGTGAATTTATACAATGCAAAATATATTTTGTATATTCAATCAAAGTATTTCTACTCACTCAAATTGTTTGTCTTCTGTGTAATTGTGCCAGTCTTGCGAGTCGTGTTGACTTTTTTATCTCAACTAAAAACCTTAATTAATTTTAATATATTAATTGGTCAAGCGGACCACGAAATTAGTGAATTTATTATATATTGTTGACAAAGGAATAAAAACATTTATCTATCCATTTATTTTATAGAAACTCGAGATACAAATTTATTTGGATTCTTTAATAAATCCAGGGTGGTCGGCTACTCGTGTTACAAATTTTGCCCGTAGGTTTTACATTCAAAATGAAACCCAAAAAACTTAATTAACTATGGTCCGAATCTCAACAGTTTCGGAATTGTTTCACTTTTTCTGATTTTTTAAGATTTCACAACGTTGATTCAAATAAGCAATGATATCTCCAAAATTAAACAGTTTTGGAAAAATCCGTTGATACCACTGAAAACTACATTAAATTGCCAATAAGACGTGATTGATACTAAACTTGTAAACCATCGTGAAATCAGCCATTTAGTAGCGAGAACTTTGATTTTTTTTTTCAATGTTGAAAATCTTACTATGGTGATTCTTAACTACTATTTCCAAACCTAGAGACCGGCAAATTTCAGAAAACGTACTCCATTTTATATCCTTTTAAGTGGTGTAATTCATTTTTTAATTTCTGTTTTCAAAGATGAAAAAATTTATGGAGGAAAGGATAAAATCGTGGCTGGTAAGGTGGAAAATTAAAAAACCTAAGGTAATTTTGAATGAATTTATTAAACTTTTTTTTTTTAATTTGGGTTCGAAGCCGAAATAGTGCAAGTGTTTATTTATTTATCAACACGGCTGCAACTTTTATTAAGGAATTATTTATATTATTATTCTCCGGAATAAAAGTTTTAAGATACATAACGTTTTAAGTTATCTATGATCACATAGATCATCTTGTTAACAATGTGCTACCTTGGCTAATGAAGAATACATCATATATACGCATACGCTGATATACATTTTATGTACTGTTTTGCGGATTTAATGCGAGGCAGCGCGTTGTAAATGCATTGCGGAGGGTCGAATTTAAAATTTTTAAATTTCTAATCAAAATGAAAAAAAAAAACGTTTGATAAATTCATTCAAAATTGCCTTAAGTTTTTAATAATTTATTATTATTAACCGTTCCACCTTACCAATCCTTCAACCACGGTTTTTTCTTTTCTTTCAACGATTTCTTCATCTTTCAAAAAGGTAATTAAAAAAAAAATTGCACCACTAAAAGGATATTGAATGGAGTCAGTTTTCTGAAAATTGCTGTTCTCTAGGTTTGGAAATAACTTACTAATCACCATAGTATGTTTTTCATCTTTGAAAAAAAAATTTCTTAGTTCTCGCTGCTAAACACTTATTTCACGAACATTTACGAGTTTAGTATTGATCATATCTCATTGGAAATTTAAGGTAGTTTTCAGTGGTATGAACGGATTTGTCCAAACATTTTATTTTGGGAGTTATCATTATTTATTTGAAGCAAGGTCGTGAAAACTTAAAAAATCAGAAAAAGTGAAATAACTCCGAAACTATTGAGATTCGGACCATAGTTAATAAGGATCTTTTGGTTCCATTTTTAATGTTGAATCTACCCTGTAAAATACACAAAAAATGATGTGATTTTTTTAAAATTCTGTCAGTTCAGAGATGTATTTAGGTGTGCTAATTTGGAAAAACAATGCAATTGAATGTTTATTTATTTGCAATTTACAATGTTTTAATTTAGTGTCCTTTGTAAATACATAAGCACCCATCTACCTATTTACAATAACTGTACAAAAAATTAAGTTAACGATAGAAAAGAAAATTGTTTCATGTGTTTATAACTGGTTGGATAGTCTTTATTTAATATTAATTGTATCCATAAATAATTTAATTTAATTATTTTTTTATTTTGTACAATATCTTTGTATAATTATGTTGATGTTTGGGATAATATAGGTATTTAAGGTTAGAAAGGACGCCAGCTTTGTTGATTCGTTATGGAATACATGTTTTTTATCTGCTGTTTAACGTAATTTATGTTGGAAATCGTACATATTTTTGGTGTGTATTTTATGATCCTCTTTCTCATTGGTTTACGTCAATAAAGTATATACATATTATAGTATATACAAAGGGTTTTTTTATTGGTCTTGTTGAGCGGTACAGTAGAATACGCCTTTTCCTCGCTGAGTAAAAGGCTCGGCGTTTCGGTTTGCTTGGCCAAAGGATGCGGAGGGTTACGCAAAAGAGCGTTGTCTTGGTAGGGAGTTTTCCATTTCTTCATCCTTATAAAAGCCAAGTCGGCTCACTTGGACGTCAGTTCGCATTTCGTTTGTACACCCGGAGAGCTAAACATGAAACGGCTCGTAAGTATTAATGAGTATAATTAAAAACCAACCCCCCTTAAACGCAACATACCCCCAGTAGGCCGTTTTAATGTTGTATTCACAAAGTGAAGTTTAGCTCGCTTTTAATATGAAAAGTTTCGTACTGAGATAAAAAAGCCCCGAAGTTCCTCTTTTCCTGGGTTTTTTTTCACAGGGGTGGAATTGTTCCAGTTAGATAGAGAACAATTTTTTTACTTTGGAAACCTCCTTGTTTCGATCGACAAAACTAATAATGGTCCTTGTACAAATAAATTCCTTCAAAACGTGTTCATTTGATATTCATATTATAAAAACACATAGGTTAAATTCAAAACAATATTCATACAATATGAATAAATCTGAACTGTATACACTGTTTTGGGCATTTTCAATATTTGTTTAAAAACGTCTCTCTTTTAACATTATTTTGTGTACTGTAAAAAAATTCCAACTTTCAAGTCAATTTTCGTCCCATCTACAAATACAATAATTGACACTGACATTTTTCTTTACATGAGCAATTTGTAAGGAGACGGTTTTCAACAATGAATTTTAATTAATATTTACAAATTGTAATATTAAAACAAAGTTTTATTGATATGTATGATAAGATATGTTTTTATGTAAAAATACGAGTACTTCGATATTCGAAGAAGCAATTTTAGAATACCATCTTAAAATTCATGATCGTCAACCAATATCACCTTTATACATTTTCAACCAGAGAAAATATATGCAGAATTTATTATAACTATACATTCTTAATGTATATAAATATATGACTATTTGACTATATATGAATATTTACAGTTTCTTGGATATTTTTTTTTTCAATTTTTGCAAAATATTTCTTTACCGTTCAATTTAGTTTCAGCTAATACAATAGTTGATGTATTAGCTTTTTCTTTAACATAAAAACATCATAGGTTAAAATTACCATTAATACTGTTTAAATTAATTTATTAACTTCAAAATGTAATTAAAATCTCAACATAGCAATAAAATTTAAAATTCCACCTTATTTTTCAAGCTGTATAGTTTTTTTTTTTGCTTTTTTTTTGTATAGTTTAATTTTTGAACCGAAAACCGCATAAATTCTAAAGCCAAATATTAATATATAAATATAATCAGGACAGTTTCTTGTGTATATTCAATGTTTGTTTGAAAACGTTGTATGATTCGTTATACTTGACGGATCTAATAAAAACTACAAACCATTTTTTTTCTCCGCGGATTTCCAACCATTTCTCCACTTCTTACCCTGTGTAGGTGGTACACGTATGATTAAGGCCGTACCTTGCAAGGTGCGTTTTCCCATAAAACTATCCCCGGTGGAGTTGGAATCGCCTTAGCAAAATGGCTATAATGTATTAGGACTTCACATTCACAAAGATATCTGGATATTTGCATATGCTTCTGGTATCTCCTAGATATGCTTCTATGCTTTGACCATCTTTTATAAGTGGTAGTTTACAGAGCAGTGGCCAATGTAGAGGCTAATTAATCTGAAATTTCGCCTCTGAGACAAATGGGTTCATTTTTTACAGTTTGAATCCAGTACTTGGGTTTTTCTTTATCAAGACTTTTTTCCGGCTACAACTTTACCACACTCTCATTTGTGCCTAGATGGGGTGAGAGGGTTGTTTCTTCCTCATTAGTTGAAAACGATAGTTCTACAAACTCTAATTCACACCTATAAGGTTGCTGTCTATTGTCTCATAGACTGTGTGTTGAAAGTTCCCGCAACGCCCCTGACTATTAAAATTTTAACAACACCCAATGGATTTTCAGTAATATTTACCGGTTGTTAGCTAAAAAAAAAAAAATTGACATTAAAAGAAACAACAAACGGTCACCACTTCACAAATGACTCCGACTTAACCATCTATATTTTTCCTTTTTTGACTATTCTAGCTTATACCGTCTATACATTCATACCTAGAACGTCAATGTTACAATTTTGTATTTTCCTAGAGCCTTTAGGAAACATAGGCGCTCCCAGACTAGTTTGGAGATAAAAATATATCAACTTTGCAGCTGCCTAATTTCTGAAAGTATCTATTTCTATGCACCTTGCATTTTCTTTTTTATTAATTCCTGAGTACCTAATTGGATAGCATGGGCCTTAGCTTAAACCAGCCTGGTAGCTTAAACCAGTCCAAGTAGTTTTTCTAGGAATTCAGCTCCTTTACCCCTACACCTACTCGGTGTTCCATCTTTGATAACATTATACCATAATAGGCACCCTTCCAAAAACTATGGTTTGTTTATTTATTTTTCAATAAATCTCGTTAACTCGGTACCTTATTTTAATTTGGATTATTAGGGTAATCCATATATTTTAAGAATATGTAAAATGTGTATTTAACCCAGGTTCCCTTGATACTAAGGATTATCCAGATACTGTAACTCAAATTGTCGTGTAACTTAATTTTTAAATTTAACCTTTAAAAAACTAAATATTGCGTAAAGTTAATGGAGTCCGTTAGTCGGTTCTGAGTTTGAATCTTAAGACATTTTAATTGGTAATAATATGTAAAAGTTACTGTAAAGTGGTTCTGACCCGCGATACCCAACGGGGTTACAGTCCCTCCTGTAAAACAGAATGTAATTGCTTTACTTTTACTTTATTGTCCATTTACAAATAAAATATTTTATAGCGCAATTTTTTAAAACACATAAAAACTTTTATTGTAGTAGATTTCGAAATAATAATGTTTAAATTAATATAGTATATAATTCATTAGATTTCTTGGTCCGATTGACCAAATAACATCTTTCAATTAAGTAATCTTTATGTAAGGTATTGGCTGAGATAAAAAAGTCAGTGTCCGAGCGGCGTATATAGCCGAAGGTCGTGGGTTCGAATCCCGCTCGTGACACCGACTTTTTTTATCTCAACCAAGACCTTACATAAAGATTAATTAATTGATAGTATATAATATGGAATTAAAATAGAAATTTATGCACATTTTTGCATAATGATCTCTATGTACAAAGACAATTAATGAAGTTTATGCATAATAAACTTTTTTAAATATATTTTTGTAAATGATCATCCGCTTTATTCTAAGAGATACTCGACATTATAACAACGATACAGATTTTACAACTTTTTACTGTTAGTTAAACTGACTATGTCAGACTTTCAAATTTGAACCATATCTTGTCAGTTCGAACAATTATTTTAACATTGTCAAATAATTATTTAAAAAAAGAAAAAAAAGTTATATTGGTTAGTAACGAATAATAGTAAATCAGACATCGAAACGTGTGATCAGTTTAGTTCCTAAGCACAAAAGTCATACTAGAAAAACCAAACAAATAAAAATATCAAGAAAGTCGATTCCATAAGAACTTTGAATTGGCATATTTTCTTGGCTCCACGGATAAACTTCGGAACATGTATGTACAACAACCTAACCATAACCATAACTTTAACATACCATACCTTTATTTCTAATTTAACCTAATTTAACCAGTTACTACCCCCTAACAATCCCTAATCGTAATCTGCTCTATCATAACCCTATCCCTACCATAAGCCAATCTGTATTCGCAAATGGCCACGAAAAAGGTATGTGTAGCGGAAAAATATATGGGAAAAAAGGAATTTTTTCAATAACGTTTACTAAATAAAACCATCGTCATTTTAGGTTTTATGCAATAAAGTTTATATTCTGTTGAACACTGTGGTTCTTAGTATCTGATATTAGAAAAAATTATAATTATTTTTTTGTAAAATGAAGTCTAAAAATACATTTCTATCTAATGCTAACTCATTGAAATAGTTCTCTGGTCCAATTTCGTTAGTCGTCGGATATGTTGCGACATACTAGCCATTATCTGCTCAATGTATCATGCATAACGAACTTAATTACAACGAATTAGTTGTGTAATTTCAATACTCACGTTTTGTGTTTTTTAATATTATTCTAAGCGATTATTGTTAAAGTTGATCATATTTTTGTTTTTACAGGTTCTTCTCTGTGCGCTTTCGCTGGCAAGTGCTTCACAGTATTTCATCCCTGCTCCTCTGAATCACGACGGAACTGTCGCTGACACCCACGAAGTGGCACTTCTGAAGCACAAGCACCTTGCAGAACTTGAAAAAGCCGGCGGAGCCGTTGTATACGCTCCCCATTACGGAGATGAACATTACGAAGAGGCCAAATGGTAAATAATAAAATTTTATTTTTACATTCACTAATTTCGTGGTCCGCTTGACCAATTAATATATTACAATTAATTAAGGTTTTTAGTTGAGATAAAAAAGTCAATGGCACGAGCGGGATTCGAACCCACGATCTTCGGCTTGATACGCCGCTGCTCTACCAGTTGAGCTATCGTGACCTCGATCCACTCGGACACCAACTTCCCATCTCAACCGCGTATCAAGCCGAAGATCGTGGGTTCGAATCCCGCTCGTGCCATTGCCTTTTTTATCTCAACTAAAAACCTTAATTAATTTTATTTTTACGTTTATAAAACGACAAAAAAACAACGTCGTGTCATTACGAAACGGTCATTGCGATGTCACAATTGCAGACAAGCCAGAATCTATGATAGTAATCAAAAACGAAACAATACAGTTAAAAGAATGCAACGAGCTTTATCTCTCAAAGATAATCCGATCCGGCTGAACGCCGAGGAAATGTTTAAGGACCCGAATTAGTGAGCAGGTCGAGGCCAAAATTTTCTGTTGAGCAACAAGGAATTACCAGTGAGCTGATGGAATCCGCTGTTTAAAATTAATTACAAGTCCGTCCTTTGAAGCTTTTTTTTTAGACGCCACGGTTTGAAAATTGAATTGTCTGATATTACCTTAGGCTGCAGAATAATGCCTTAGACTCTGGAAATACTAACAACCCACATTCTACGCGAACAATAAACACAACAAACTTAAATAATTACTGTAGGCTTATTTTTCAATAACATATAACATTTTTAAGAACATAACGATATTTAGACAAATATTTTTTATAGAAAGCTTTTAACGGTCTTTAAAGTCAGCAGGCTTGTCCAAAGTCACTGCACGTAAGTGTAAGATGTGAAAAAGAAATGCTAACAACAACACAAAACTCAACCACCGAATTTGGTGAAAGCAGCAAAGATGGGCAACAAGTATGTGATAGTAAGCAGACAAGTTTTCATCATCCCACTCACTGCACGTAAACTTGATATACGGTGTAAATCGAAAATAAACTTATTATTCAATGTGTGGTGATTAGTGACAGTAAGTCGATGATTATTCAGAAATCGTGAGATGCGGTCTGGTGTGATGTGGGGTGTCAGAAAAACATTTTCTTTGTCGTGCCAACGTTTCGATCTTTATTGGGATCATATTCAGGGCTCAAAGTGTTTGTTCTCTGCGTAATTGTCCATTCTTGCTTATCGTGTTGAGAGGGCAGCACGCAAAAATGGCAGAATGAAGATGATCTCAATAAAGTTCGAAACGTTGACACGATAAAGAAAATGTTTTTCTGAAACCCACATCACACCAGGCCGCATCTCACGATTTCTGAATAATTATTATTCAATTCTAACTTTATTTTAATTTATTACAATTTCATTAATTGATTCTCCACAGCAGTCAAAATTTACGTTGTGTTATTAATATTCTAAGTTCAATTTTTTTACCTGCATCACCATAGGAATTTATGAAGGAAAATGACTTGGTTTATGTGCGCCGATGATTACAATTTTTCCATAAAAGAATCGCAGAAGCCTACAATGATAAACATTCCATTAAAATAATGAATACCAGGTTGTTCGTTTAAGTCTTATGCAGTAACTTTCATATATTTTTAACTTACAACTTTGAAAATTTATCTGTTTTCATTTTATTACGCTTGGTTTGTGGATTATGGCAAAATTTTATGGATTTGAGTGTTCAGGAGACTGGATAAATTGGCTGATCTAATAATTTTGCAATACGTTTCCTTTATCGTAGAATGGTGTGTTATTCTTTAATGTTCCAAGTATACCTAGTGCTTGGACAAGTACTTTGATCTCGAAATTAGTTGAACTTTTAGTTTTGTGTAAATACAGGTTTATGAGAAAGGAAGTTCTAATTTCAAAACTCCCGTACTCATCACAAAATGTGAACAAACATCAATTTCTAGTAGATTGTTCAGGTTTTACCAGGAGTAAAGGTGCCTTGTCAGAGGTTCTGGACCAGTGCAAACTTTTTCGTACGTAATCTAGCTTTTAAAAGTCTTCGCCTTACGGAGCGTAAACTGACATTAAAATTTTTGCCTTTTTGAAATCGTTCGTCGATCTCAATAGCGGTATAATGTGGAAAAAATAAAACGGTTATCTCTCCGAGATGTGACCTGATCCATGCCTCCTTAAGTAACCTCCAGTATCTCCAATAGCGACGGAAGACCCATCAGTCAGTTTTTCTTGGAATGTTAAACACCCTGGCCACATACGCTTGACTTCTTCCATCTTCCAGCGTTGCTTTGATTCTAACCGAATCGGTATCATTTAAAACCAACAGTCAAACAAATTTGAAACTTAAAAATGGTAGAATTTAAACAAAAATCAAACCACCGGAACGTTAGAAAGAAGGTTGAGATAAAAAAAGTCAGCGTTCGGCTAAATACGCCGCAGTCACGATAGCTCAAGTGTTATAGTTCGAGCTATAGTGATTTTGATCCTCTCGGACACCAACTCTCCCTCTCAACCTACAACCGTTCGATTTTTTCCCCTGTTTTGCGATTTTCAAAAATGTCGTGTAATCGGGACTGGATTCCCAGCGACTTATGATGTGGGGAGCTGTTACTGAAGTGATATTTCTTTTACTAATTACATATTAATCCATTTATGTTTTAGTAGCCATTTTTTCAAATTTAGAAATCGTGAGATGCGGTCTGGTGTGATGTAGGTTGAGGAAGGGAAAAAATGTGTTGGTAATGGTTCGGCCAGATTATCCTTTCAGGATTATATAGAAAGGGATAAATAGGAAAAGGAAAGCTGAATTGTTGGGAAATTAGACTATGTGAAAAATATTTGAATGTAATGTGTGGAATGTAATGTGATGATATAGGTATGTTATCTGTATTGAATGTGATTAATGATATTGGCGTAGCTGCGACTGAGTTTACATGTATCTGTTCTGTAATTGATGCTGTGTTTATCTCTGTTGATATAAACCATTTCTAAGAAATTACGTTTATATTTGTTTTGTTCTGTATGTAATATTTTTGGATTTTTGAAGTCGAAATTGTGTTGGTGTTCAAAATGGTGGGTAGCGAGTGCTGTAGGATTTTGCTTAGGTTTTTTGCAATCATAGATATGTTGCTTTACTCTCTTGTCCAGATATTGGGATGTAAGACCGATGTAAGTTGCCGGACAGTTTAAACAGTTGATCTTGTAGATTACGTCAGATTTATTTGTTATTGGTGTGGGATCTTTAATTTTGGAAAAAAGTGTTTGAATTGTTTTATAATTTTTGAAAGCTATTTTGAAGTTATCGGACGAGAGAAATGTGTTTAATTTATGTGATAGGCCTTGAATAAATGGCATGGAAATGTATGCTGGTTTGTTTGTATTTGATAGACTTAATGTAGTATTATTAGTAATAGTGGATGGTGTTAGTGTTGAGTTGTAGTTGTTGATTATTCTGTTAATTATGTGTTTAGGGTAGAGATTGTTATGGAGGATCTGTTTGTATATCTTTATGTTCTTGTGGTGAAATGATTCATGGCTCAGGGTAATCATTCTGTGAAGTAACCCTTTGGCCGTGTTTATTATTGTATGAAGAGGATGGTGAGATGTAAAGTTGAGGTAGCGATCTGTGTTTCTTGGTTTTTGATACCAATCTGTGATTAATGTGCCATCTGGTAGTTTTATTACGAGAGTATCTAAAAATGGTTTTTTTTTGTTGTTTTCGATTTCATGTTTAAATTTTAGGCGTGGGTGAAAGCTATTAAATGTATCTAATGTAGTTTTAATTATTCTAGTAGTTTTTTCTATACCGACTTCCTTCCCCACCCTTTCCTTCAAAATCCAACGTATATAAACATAAAACAGCAAATTCTCACTGGCACTCTCAACCCGACATGCAAGAATGGCACAATTACACAGAAGACAAACACTTTGAGTGAGTAGAAATACTTTGATTGAATATAAAAAATATATTTTGCATTGTATAAATTCACTTTTCCACATCCTAAATGTATTTGTTAAATGTAAACAATGTTTGTAAATCCCAGGCCCTGAAGATGATCTCAATAAAGATCGAAACGTTGGCACGATAAAGAAAATGTTTTCTGAAACCTATCACACCAGACCGCATCTCACGATTGAGGTAGCGATCTGTATTTCTTGGTTTTTAATACCAATCTGTGATTAATGTGCCATCTGGTTGTTTTATTACGAGTGTATGTAAAAATGGTATTTTTTGTTTGTTTTCGATTTCATGTAAATTGTAGGCGTGGGTGAAAGCTATTAAATGTATCTAATGTATTTTGAATTTGATCTGTGGGAACTGCTGTCAATAATCATCTACGTATTTAGTGAGGAAGGGTAATGTGATAGGAAGTTGTGGTATGAGTGGTTTTTTTAGTGGTCAATTGACCAAGTTACTTCTTTCAATTAATTATTCTTTTTAAGGTTTTGTTGGTTGAGGTAAAAAAGGTTTTTTTTTTTTTTATTGGCCTTATGATCTTGCATATTAGCCATAGTACGAATTCTTGTGTGTTCAAATTGGGGGTTATCGGGAAAAAAGGCGACGGTGGGAATCGAACCCACGACCGCGGCGTGAGAGGCTCTCATGCTAACCACTCGGCTACCGCGGTCCCCAGATAGATAAAAAAGGTGGTAGAGCAGCGGCGTATTTAGCCGAATATCGTGGGTTCGAATCCCGCTCGTGATACTGACTTTGTTAACTCAACCAAAACCTTACATAAAAAGAATAAATAATTCAAAGAAGAAACTTGGTCAATTGACCAATCATAAATAGGTAAAAAGAACAAGAAAAACCAAAGACGAGATAGACAATTCAAATATTTATTTACAAAATCCAATTGTAAAAATAAGTGGGAGATTTTATCTGTGTTTAATTTAGATTTATTTATTTAGATGGGAAATTTTAGACCAAATATTGTTGAAAGATAATTAATGGAGGATTGTCTAAAAGATAATTGAGAATGTTAAAGATGGCCACTGTTTTGCTTCTCAGTATTGATAGGGTAGCGTTGTAGTAATAACACTATTCTTTTTGTATATTTTTGGATATTATCACGGCATTTTATAATAAATATTTGATATTGTTTTTAAAATATGTTAAATCTGCTTATGGTATTACAAAGTTGATTTAATTTTAACGGCTCAAACTTATCGATCTTGCCCTGTCTGAGCCATTACCTCTAGACCGGGTCAAATTATTTATGTACCCTTCTGCTCTCGGAAATTAGGAAGACGTGTGAGCAAAGCCATAACAGCATGGGCTGAGTACTCGAGGGAAAGCCGATTGTGGTCGTTTGTCACGGCAGTATTGCGACAAATCCGCCCGGCACGATTACACAAATTAGAGCCGAGGATTTTCCACCGGTGAAATTACACCTTTTATTTGTTGTATTCCTACAGGAAATGCAAATCGTTCGAAGTCGGCCGTTCGAACCATTTTCCCCCTTCCGAGTTGAAAATGCTGTTTTTTTTAATAACAACCTCAATCGTTTGTTATACTGTCTGATTGGATGTTTGTTCTAAAATTCTATGTTTTTTTTTCCCAATTAATAACACCTTTGAAAATAGACCAGTCCTCACAAGGAAAGGTGCATGCTCTACGGTAACATTTACGTAAAAGCATTAAATTCCTACATAGGTAAAAACGTTACGCAAAAAGATTATTGTTATTATAACGTGCACTTTTTTATTAGGATTACGTCCAAACTTTACGTCTCACCGAGATTTATGCTTCACTTAAATTCACTAAATAAATATAATACTTGTTTTATTACCTAACACCGAGCTATTTTGCAACAGGAAAGTATATGGAAAATTGACAATAGTTCTATTTATAAGCATTATTTATTATTTTAATACACAATATAACTGACATATTCCTTAATTAAAAGAAGCTTTAAACCCAAATTTTGTTTACAAATTATATTTATTTTGTGATCCTAACAGTCATCATAATCAATCAAGTACGATGCATAACTATATATATTATATATATATATATATATAATATATAATCTGACATATGCATCATACTTGATCGAGAGAGAGAGAGAGAGAGAGAGAGAGAGTGAGCGAGAGGGAGAGAGAGATAGAGAGAGAGTGAGTGAGAGAGAACTTTATTCTGGGACTAGAATCTCCTAGGAATAACACAAAAATTCCCAGCAATTTGTTACAAATTTGGTATTCGAACTAATGAAGATTTGATGTTAACACAAGTAAAATAAGTTGAATTAAATCACATAATACAAAATTTAAAAAACAATTTTACGAATTTAGGGAAAAGTAGTAATAATAAAGAATTATCTGTCTTTTGCGAACATATGACTCCTGTAAATTTGAAAGTGGAGAAAAAAGGTAACAAGTTTTCTTATATAGCCAAAGCATCTAATATTTTTTATTTTATTTATTTTTGGCCTTCATTACATACAATAATATACAATAGTAATAATAGTAATATGCATGTTATATACATTATTTTGGAAAGAAAATAAAAACAAATTTATCCTGTCATTGCCTACAAATCGTAACATTACTAATAATTAAAATTTATAGATATCATTAAAAAAAAATATTTGTCCTGGCATTAGATCCAATATAATCGACCAATAATAACAAAATGTCTGAGTGCATGTATTTATTAGCGTGAATGGCGAGGGGTGAGGGTGAAATATAACGTCATCATCACCCCTCGAACGTTGAGAGCGTGAGAGTGTGTGTTCGGGGTCGATGGCGGAATATTTATAAAAGTACTCCATCGACCCCAATCTAGATTAGTTTGAGTATAGGGTCGGTGAGGAATCAAGTACTCCACCGACCAATCGGAATGAGTGTATTGTATGGATGTATTTATGTGTATGAATGTATTTATTTGTATGAATGTAGTGTCTGAAAGGGTAAATATAATATAAACTTAGTTTGGGGCTGAAATGACCTAGATGTCGGAAGCCCCAGTAAAAAAAAAACCATTTTTAGACATGATATTGAAAATAAGACAAATTTATTCTGACATTACACACTATAACATACATTAATAATAAATAATAATGTAAATTTAGATATATTGTAAAGAAAATAAAACGAACTTATCATGGCAACGTACAATACTACTAATATTAATTCCATTATATTTCGTGGCCCGATTGACTAAATAACTTCTTCCAATTAATTAATCTTTATGTAATGTATTGGTTGAAATGAAAAAGCAAGAGTGACGAGCGGGATTCGTACCTTCGGCTAAATACGCCGCTGCTCTACCACATGAGCTCTCGTGAATTCGATCCACTCGGACAACAACTCCCCATGTCTACCTACAACCTTTATATACCTTATATATAATAGAGCTAAATGAAAAAAAAACTTACATACAAAACTAAACCGAGTAAAACTATGTTGAATAGAAATAATGAAGAAAATATTCAATTCAGTGCGAAATATTTCCTCCTCTTGCGTTGATCACCGCTTGCATTGGACGTGGCAGCGAATTTACGAAGTTTTGAATTTAGTGCATACAAAGTAATATAAATTAAAGTAATATATAATAATAATAACATTTGTGTGATGTTTTTCGACCTAGAGTTTTCCAATCCTCCAATTTTTGACATTTTTAGAGCTTTAGTGAAGTATACTTCATTTTAAATCATTAAATTCTCTAATTTCGTGGTCCGCTTGACCAATTAATATATTAAATTTAATTAAGGTTTTTAGTTGAGATAATTTTTTTTTTCAATAAGTGAATTTCAGTGAATTTAATAAGTTTAAAATGAAATATACTTCATTAAAGCTCTCCGTGGCCATTTCATTTCTCGCCGAGAATCAAATAGATTACACGACATTTGGAAAATGGCATAAAGGAGGGAAAATTCGAAAGGTCAGTTGAGATGGGGAGTTGGTGTCCGAGTGGATCGAGGTCACGATAGCTCAAGTGGTGAGCAGCGGCGTATCAAGCCGAATATCGTTGGTTCGAATCCCGCTCGTGATACTAACTTTTTCATTTCAACCAATACCTTACATAAAGTTTAATTAATTGAAACGAATCTTAATAAACATTTTTTAGATCTAATAAAGAAAATAAACGATTCAACAAGATAATAAAAATTTTTCCTATATTTTAGAACATATTTACCACAAATATATATATAAATATATACAGTTCGTTTAGTTCACTTGTATCAGATATAGTGAGTAGGTTTACGAATGGAGAATTGTTACAAAAAATTATGGAAATGTAATTTTTAATATATTTTGTTCTGAAACAAGGAATGGGCAGATCAAAAGATGTGCTAGGTGATCAGGTTCTTCTAAAGGGCAAATTTGCAAGGCTGTTCAAAAGTAAATAAGTACAATCTCCTGTTTAAATATATTTCACACGATAGTTTATTTGCAAGTCTGAATTCAGCAAATACTCGCAATTTATTGATATGAACAATAGCGTTTATGTATGGTTCATTCCATGTAGGAGGGCTAATTTTTCTATGAGTCATATTGAAGCGGCTATTTATTTTAAATTCAATATTTTTACATAATAAATTGTTTTTATATGATTCTAGGTAATTGTTATAATTATCTTTCATTATTGAATAATCCAATTTTTTATAGAGCACCAATAATTGCAAGTCGTGTTCTAATTTCATCAACCCAATTGCAAAGCATTGTATAATTTTCGAAACTTAGCTTTTCTAGTCTAATAAAACTACGTTTGGGTAGAGAGAAATCGGACATCTTCAGAAAAACCAACAACCAATTTAACATTTTTTAAAATATTTTAAGATCTGTATGTATTCTAACAGTTTCTAACTTAATATATGCAACAGGTGTGATTTTTGAGAGGTGGAGAAGTAATTTAAAATAAATAATAATATTATGAACTATTAAATTCACTAGTTTCGTGGTCCGCTTGACCAAGTAATATCTTACAATTAATTAAGGTTTTCAGTTTGGATAAAAAAGTCAATGGCACGAGCCGGATTCGAACCCAAGACCTTCGGCTTGATACGCCGTTGCACTACCGCTTGAACTGTCGTGACCTCGATCCACTCGGATACTAACTTCCCATCTCAAACACACCTTTTGAATTGCCCTCCTTTTTGCCATTTTTCAATAAGCGAATTTCAGTGAATTTAATAAGTTTAAAATGAAGTATACTTCACTAAAGCTCTCCGTGGCCATTTCATTTCTCGCCGAGAATCAAATAGATTTCACGACATTTGAAAAATGGCAAAAAGGAGGGAAAATTCGAGGGTGGGGTTGAGATGGGAAGTTAGTGTCCGAGTGGATCGAGGTCACGATAGCTCAAGTGGTAGAACAGCGGCGTATCAAGCCGAAGGTCGTGGGTTCGAATCCCGCTCGTGCCATTGACTTTTTTATCTCAACTGAAAATCTTAATTAATTGTATTATGAACTATGTTGTCTCTGTTTGGAGGGATGTGAGGTGTTGGTACAGATGGGACTTAAAACAGGTAAAGCAGGTAGCTTTGCGGATTGGCAAAAGAAAACAATTCCAGAGATTTGTGGCTCGAGCTAGGAAGAACCTCTCAAATTTGGAAGTTTTATGACGAGGAAGATATTGGTAATTGGGAAACAGAGTGTTAAAAGAGTGGATAGAGTATTTGAACTAAAGTGGCTTTAAACTATAGTGAGGTCGACGAGAGTTTATGAGTTGGTAAAGGAAGGAGTCTATAAAATACTTTCTAAAGAAGGAGGGATAAAGTCAGAATAGATCTGAATATTAATATATATTACTATTAATATTTATTTATAACTTAATATTAATGAAAAATTATACTAATTATTATTAATAAGTAGTAGTCTTTGTTTTAAGTAGAGATTATATGATTTAGGGAGGAAAACTTGGTTCAAAAACCGTACGACTTTGGTCACGTCGAACCCAGGTACCACGGTCCACCCGCTCCTCTAAACCACGACGGCACGGTCGAAGAAACCCCTGAAGTGAAACATGCCAAAGTGTACCATTTCGCCGAACACGCCAAAGCGTTGAACAGACTTCATTACAGCCACACCCCGATGAACAACCACTACGAGGAGGTGTCTTACCACTCACCCTTGTCCTACGCCCACTACGCACCACAGCTCGATTACAGATACCACGGACCACCTGCCCCGCTCAACCACGACGGAACTGTCGCCGAGACGCCTGAGGTGAAACACGCCAAAGCAGCGCATTTTGCCGCTCATGCCGCTATCAAGTGAGTGCTCTAAAACTGTCAAATTTAAATTTAGACATCTGGATAAATAATACAACTTAACAATTTGAAGTTCCCAGTTTTAAATATGATTAAACATACCAATTGTTCGCACCATAATGTAAACTTATTAACCGAGGGCTTACCTTCATATAATGCAGATAGGGTTTAGTTAATAAAGTTTTATCACCGAAACTATAATTTCGTATATGAAACAATTTCAGTTAATTATCTGTTATTGCATGTCCGGAGGAAAGCCTGGCCTTACCTAAGAAGACTTTAATTTCAGCTTGAAATCAATTTGAAAATAGTTTTTTCATTATATCTGAAAATTACTAAAATAATATTATTGCTTATCATACAACAGGGTTCTCAGAAAGACAAAAACTGTTCAGTTGTAACACAAAAGATTATATTATATTGTTTTAATTCCACGGTTGTCTAACTCAAATTGGTTGTGGAGAAAGGAAAACCAAGAGTTACGTGACATAAAATTGTTTGAATTATTCTGTAATTTTTGGCTTATTAGCCCATAGGTGAGCAGACCCGATAGGTCAGTGCACAATTTTAATCTGGGAAGTAAATAACCTTGGAAATGTACATAGAAATTATGGTAAATAATAAAAATTATTTCCACCAATATTTACTTCGTCTAGCCATGCCTATAGTTTACAGTTGATTTCAAACCGTCTTCTGTAGGGAAACTATAATTTGAGAAGACTATTGAGCCTGTAAGGATTGGCCAATTAGCTTGAAACGTACAGAATAAATAAAAGATTTTTACCACGGAATGAACGGGTTTACTTTCCTCATCAACAATAAAAACACTAACTTCGACTTCAACTTTAAGTTCGTTCAGTGTTAAGGGTGTGTAAACAATAATGATTAACTAAACTATGCCTGCAAACAGAAAAAGGGATAAAACTGAATAGTAAAAACGCTAGGAAAAAGTATATTTTATTTACAATCGACTACATGGTTATTCACCAAACTGGTCATATCAAATCTCGGGTGTTTTTGAGAAAAAAAAGTCTATTTTTAAATATGTCGGGTTCGAATACAGGGCCGCTGGTTTCGAACCCGACACTTTTACCTTACAGTGATGAGCGCCATTTCATCGCCTTAGCTGCTGCCATCGACGCCAAAAATGTGTAATGTGTTCAATTATGTCAAAATGCGGAAAATTGTTAACATCAGCATAAACAATTTTTTTTTCGCTGATTAGCAAATTCGAAGCTGGTCTGAATGTAATTACCTCAGTAAATCAATGTTTAATTATCAATACCGTAATAAGCAAGAGGATAAACATTCTCTTTGAGATTATACCATCCATATTTCAAACTTTGCTTTTTTATAGACAGTTATGCTGTATGAAAGCATGAAGGGCGTGATTGATCGCTCGAAATTTATTAATAGGTAGTCATCAGTCAGATTTTATCGCATTTGACGGGACCTGCGATGTTGCCTTATAAAAGGGATTCTTTAAAAAAAATCCGCACCTCACGATGAGGCACTAAGTTAGGTGTTTTTGTTGAATAAATTCGATTTTTTTTTGTAATGAATATATTTAAATCCAAAATTATTTTATTACAAATAATATGAAATAGTAAGTAGTTTGTAGTGTTCGTTGGAAGAATTTTTTCATAAAACATGAAATGGCCTCTTAAATCCTGGAACATTCATTGTAGATATTCAGAAGAATATTTAAAAATAAAATATTGATTTATTAAGATTTTTAAGACTTTTATCCTAAGATCTTTAAACTTCATGTGGTTCTTGGGAGTGTTGGGTGCATAACAAATTCTCGCAGAAGTACATTTAGATATAAGTATTTGTTACACGTATTTGTATGTTCAATTACTTCAGGTATACACAAGAAACTAGTTTAGTTGTTACATAACAACCAAGACCTGAATTATTTTTGAAAGTGATGTACTATTTGATGTATGTTGCAGATCTCATTACCCGGTTCATGTATTTTTGGCTGACACTCCTGAGGTAGAACACGCCAAGGCCCAACACTACACTGCATACCATAAAGTTCTCCATAGGGGCAGACGTTCTCCATATCAGACCTTCGAACACGAAGTAGTTTCCGATCACAAGTACCATGGACCACCGGCCCCACTCAAGCACGATGGTATTTAAAAAGAAAAATACAACTGTCTGTAATAGTGTTTTTATAATGGTTAACATTTATAGGTACCGTCGATGACACGCCCGAGGTGAAGCACGCCAAAGCCGTCCATTTCGCCGCTCATGCCAAAGCGAAGTACGGCGTCCACCAGACGCCTGCTCAGTACGCGATACCCGTACCTAAACTTCAGTCGGTGTACCACGCTGCTCCCGTCGTGTTTGAACCCGTCCATCACACATTCGCTCCGGTCTATCAACACTTCGTTCAACACGTCCCGTTCGAAGAGCACGTCGTCGAGTCCCCGCACTACACCACTGGAAAGTACCAACAGTACGAGCAGTACGAGTTACCTAAACAAGGCCACCATATTTTCTACTAAAAAATGTTCCAATTGTAATTGTTCTGTTAAAATAAATTCTAACGCTTCACCTTATATAAGTTTGTTTTACGGAATTTTAGCATTTCTATTGAATATAAATACATCATTTATAAGTCCCTCGATATTTCACACCGCGAGACGTACCTGATCGGAAAAAGTGACAACGACCTTCATGACATTTCCTATCTATTGAATGATGCCGTGGGCACAGTAACGTATAATTAAATAATTAACGTCTAATAAGTAGCCTTCAAATGTATAAAAGACAAGTATTGATCAATTATCACATTTTATCATATGGAACTTCTCACACATCGCTGCGCGTAATCACTACCATTCAGACGGCCGTCATCATTACACGCAATACGAAGCATATAATTTTATTTAACATAACTAAGCTAGATGCAATAACGACAATGTTAATGTGCGGAGCCTGTATAAACCAACCGCTATCAAAACATTCAAACACTTACACGTTACACGTTGTTTCATTGACTGGTTCCAAAATGTATGAATGGATGGAAATCCATATAAAATATATTTTCTAAAACATAAAAATGAATTATTTAATACTTTATGTACAGTAGAAAAATTTAAACAATCTAAACATTAGATTAAAAAATTGGGCGAAATTTATTATTAAAACTTTGATTGTAATTTTTTAGAGGTCAATTGACCAAGTTACTTATTTCAATTAAATATTCTTTTTATGTAAGGTCTTCGTTGAGATAAAACTGAAAAAAAAAATGAAAATGGCAAAAAGAGGGAAAATTTGAGCGGTTGTAGGTTGAGATGAGATTTGCTGTCCGAGTGGATCGAAGGCACGATAGCTCGTCGTAGAACAGTGATGCATATAGCCGAAGGTCGTGGGTTCAAATCCCGCTCGTGACGCTGACTTTTTTATCTCAACCAACACCTCGGTGCGGCACTTATTGATAATGCACTTTCCATGAGGTTTAGTTCCCTACGAAAAACTGCGAGACGCCGTCAGACGTTTTCGAGAAACTGGGTCCTACCATAGACGGCCCGGTACTGGACACCCTAGAGTAACAGAACCACTGAATGACCGTTTATTGACTTTGAGAATTTTGCGAAACCGGCACCTTACTTTTGTTCAAGCGTGTATGCCGAAGCGCTTCGAAATGTAATTAAGGCAAAAGGAGGAAATACGCAATATTTAAGTGTTAATTATAAATCTAAAACAAAATTAAAACAAATTTTATCTCTCCGTCTTTTTAATTTTGTTAATTTTTTTTTTCATTTTTCCTTAAAAATTTACTTTTTACACAAAGACTCAATTATTAAACATTAAAAAACATGAAAATTTCATTAATATATAAAAATATATACAAATCAAGTTAAACACAAGTGGGAGGAAATTTTTGCTTGTCAGTGTATACTGTTGCAACTTGTATAGATCCATTGTCCGATTCGATCTTTAAAACATAGAACTTTAAACTATACCAATCAAAGAAATCTCGGAATATAATAAAGCAAAAAGGGTTATTTATGTCCTATCAGACTTTATTACTTTAAGGCGCAATCAGAGATAACCCCCACCTTCCGATAAGGATGATCGGACGAGAAGTTCAGTTTAGCGCTGGCCAGCCGAGAGGTGACAACAAACCTGTTGGAAACAACACAACGAGGCATTTTTTTGTTCTTCTCTTTCTTCCTTCTTTACTACCGACACCGCCCAACATTGGAGTCTGGACTGCGTGAGGAGTCATCCTTTACTTCCAACGCCACCCGATGTTGAAGCTGGGACTACGGGCACGTCTTCCAGGGCAGTGAAAATAACATTTATGTGTGTTTTGGTGAAGGACAACCAATCGAAAAACAACATTATTTTTTTTGTCATTTTTTTTTATGTTAAAAAAACCTTTTTTTGCAAACAACGAAAACCTTCTCAAAGAATATTTATGTTAATTTTCCGAGACTTGCAAGTGTTGCCTTATCTTCTTTTCTTCTTTTTAATTTCTGTTCCTGTGAACTGTCAAAAAAATATATTTGTGTACTCGTATGTCACTTTTTTATATCCTTTTTTTGCACGCATTGTTCATTACGCCCCAATCAATTTGGATTGATCGAAGAGTGCGGGGGGATTCATTGACCTCTTACGATCAGAAACGTGGTTAAAAATTGGTAGCAGAGCAATACCACGTACTCAGTATTTGATCAATTTAAACTGATTGCCTCTTAATAACGACAGTATAAAGAATAATAAATTAAAATTAGTTCCATTTCTACACGAACGAGCTTGCCCATAATCCGACAGGTTCCTTCATTTCCATCCTCAACTTAAATATTCCTTCCAACTTGTATTTCCTATTATCCTGATTTTTCCGATATTTGTTAATGCATGCTGGGTTAATTGATCAATAAAAGGGCAGATTTAAAAATAAAAAATAAATAAAAAATTGTGTTTAATTGTGTCGCAGAAACTGTGGTTGTGTCTAATCATTTTCATTTTTAAATCTATTTAACAATGACAAAAAAATCCAATAAAAGAACTAAAGTCTGTCACAAAAAAATTGAGCAGTTGGAAATCGACGCAGCCGTCAGAAACAGTCTCACTGATCATTTTCTTCACACCTTGGAATCCATTGTTTCTGATGTTAAAAAAGGTTTATCCGACATCATGGATGAGCAGCACCATGAATTGTTAACACAAATCGTGGAGAAACACAGACAAACAACCTTTTCTCATAGTGACTCTGTAATTGGTACACAATCCCTGCCCCAATCTACAGAAAAAGAAAGACAAATCATCGAAGACATTCAGACAACCAACTTTAAACTAGCCGTATCTGAAATGGATCTACCAGATGAAACTTTGAATTCGATAACAAAAAAATTCAGAGAATTAAATATGACCACTCCCTTACATTCTACACTAGTATCCCCTAAAACCCAAAAAGATGCGAAGACAAAAAGGGCTATAACCTCAAATCAAACGGATACAGCATTTCTGAACAAAAATCCTGACTTTAGCATGCTAATGGGCTCTAAATTAGACAAACAGGAACAATCAGCTTCGGAAACAGATCCAGATATTTCTTCTAGCACATCTTCATCCTCATTCAAGCATACTCACAGGCATAGAACGTATACAATAACAAGAACATTAGAAACAAAAATTAATCAGCTGCCTTTCTTTGAATTTTTCAATCCCTCTTCAATAATTACCTTTTTAATTGGACTCTCACAAATCAACTTAACAAACAAATACAAATTCAAATCCATTTTATTAATTTTAGCGGAAAGAGAAATAAATCCTACTTGTGCTAATTTTTTTTACAATGCGCTATCACATCCGAAGATTAGTTTTGACATGTTCGCACAGTCGTTGCTAAACAATGGAATGTCTCAAAAACAATATTTAAAAACTAAGATGGACTATCTTTTCTATCCACAGAAATTAAATGAAAATTTGCGTGAATACATAGACAGGCAAATAATTATGTTAAAACTATTTGGGGAATTCAATGAACATGCAAATATTCAAAATTTAAAAACATCTATTCATCCAAAATATTTATTGTTATTAGGATACCTTGATAACATTAATACATACGTCCAATTACACAACAAGGTGAAAGAAGTCGAAATAAGACTAAATGAAAATTCGCTCTCAATTGCGCAAAACATGCATACTGTAAACACTGTGCCAAATTTTCACATGCCTCAACATTTTCAGCCCAACAAACCACAATTCACTAATAGAAATTTCCAAATTTGGCCACGACCTTATACATATCACGCACATTATACACCAAATTTCAACAACCGTCATCAACCACTCACCACCTTTTCGAACAGGCATAATAATTATAGACACGACTCCAATAGAAAAACACCAGAAAATATCAATCAGCGCAATAATTATCAACGGAGTAATAACCATCGTCCTCAAGAGCGACAGCAATACAATAATACGTCGAAAAGTTACAACCATAGCCAAAGGTATAATCGAAGAAATCCCAACTTTGGAAATCCCAATAGAAAGGAAAGCTACACAAGAAATCGAAATTATCAAAACATTAAAAATAAAAAATTTGTACAATTTGACAAGCAGGCTTTTGCGACACTGAATGAAAATATAGTAAAACTTCAACAAATTATCACCACCAATCATCCGGAAAATACACATAAACCACTTCACACCGACAAAATTTCAAAAAACTAATAGCCAACGCAGTTCCTCAAGATGTAGCAATCCCACATCAAGCCATAAGATTGCCCTTTATTATAGTCAAAGTCGGAAGAGTTGAGCTTCCGGCACTATTAGATTCGGGCAGCTCAATTAATGCCATTTCCCAAAAATGCGCAAATCTTCTCGGCAGGAAATTAATTAAAACCTTGAGCTTGGCTGACGACAAAAATAAGGTTGTTTCAATTGCAGGAACTGCGCTTACAATACAAAACCAAGGCATAATTAAAATTAAATTTAAAAATTTATCCTGGCCAATAAAATTCCAAATTGTAGGAGACATGCCAATCCCTATGCTTCTGGGGTATAATTTCATGACTCACACAGGCTTAATTTTAGATGCAGGTAATAACGAAATTTCATTCATAAATAACCCTTTGAAAACTTATAAAATGCATTCCTTAAACTATAACAATTTGGAAGAGAATTCTAATCAAATCGTATCACACGTATATCAACAAAGCCATTTATCCTGTGCAAACTATATCTCCAACGACACCTTAAGCCCAAACAGCCCCACCTCTGAAACAGATTTAACAACTCCTCTTCAGGTCAAGGTCATTCGGAATAAAACACAAGTTGTTAAACCGAATAAGGAAATGTTTTCACAACAAAATGCAATTGTAAACAGCCTTATCAAAGAATTCCCAGACGTTCTTACGAACAAAATAGGCCAGGCCAGACACTACTCGCTTAAAATATTCGTCGAGGAAAATAATCCGCCCATTAATCAACCTGCTTACCCTCTCAATCCAAAAGACCTGCAGCAAATGCGAGAAATAACGGACGATTTACTAAGGCAAAATGTTATACAACCTAGTCATTCTGCCTGGGCCTNCTTCACCAAAACACACATAAATGTTATTTTCACTGCCCTGGAAGACGTGCCCGTAGTCCCAGCTTCAACATCGGGTGGCGTTGGAAGTAAAGGATGACTCCTCACGCAGTCCAGACTCCAATGTTGGGCGGTGTCGGTAGTAAAGAAGGAAGAAAGAGAAGAACAAAAAAATGCCTCGTTGTGTTGTTTCCAACAGGTTTGTTGTCACCTCTCGGCTGGCCAGCGCTAAACTGAACTTCTCGTCCGATCATCCTTATCGGAAGGTGGGGGTTATCTCTGATTGCGCCTTAACTTTCAATTTAGAGCCCCCCCCATTGTATTTT